TATATATATATATATATATATATACACACACATATATATATATATATACACACACACACACACACACATATATATATATATATATACACATATACACACACACACACATATATATATATATATATACACACACACACACATATATATATATATACACACACACACACACACACACACACACACACACACACACACACACACACACACACACACACACACACACACACACACACACACACACACACACACACACACACACACACACACACACACACACACACACACACACACACACACACACACACAGGTCAATTAATTTTGTGGCTAAAAAAATATCGGTTCAGGAACCTTTTTGGCACCGGTACCGTTTTTAAAAGTATCGATTTAGCACCGGTATCGAAAAAAAACCAAAAGATACCCAACCCTATTAATGAATGGCATTTCCATTTAAATAATGTATGCTTTTCGCATGATATTACCCAATAACCTAAAAGATAGTCCATGACAGCATCTAAATGAAGCGCTTCTGCGTTAATGAAGTAAATAGGGAAATCGCTTCTCCACTGCAAGAAAAATTAAGCACCCCTGAGCGCGCTCTCTCCTGATCAGACGTTCTTCAGAGCTCGAAAAAAATCCCAAAGGACAAGAAGCATCTCATAATTGAGCAGCACATGTGGTGATCATCTCTATGGGGACAGAGAGTATGGAAACCAGCAGACTCCACAGTATAACCATAATCAGCTCCATCAGCCCGTGCGACACAAGCAGGCGGAATCACCTGTGAAATTCCATTCCTTCAACAGAATCAGGTTTCAATCCACTGGAGGCTGATTAAATATTAAAAGTGAGCACATACAAAGTGGCAAGATTACATGACGGCCTATTGATGCCTGGCTACGCGAGTCTATTTCTACAGCGTTCGATGGGAATCCAATTTGAACACAAACATCTGGAGCAATCAGAAGCGAGAAGGGCACTTGAGAGAAACGTCTGACTTCACAGGAGGTGGTGTTACGCAATGCAGCTTCAATATACTGAAGTAATAAGATAATTTGGTTAAGAGGAACATCTTTTGCGTTCCCAAAATGATATCAGACATCCACTCACAGGAAATCCGATAAAAATATATTACCACTCCCAAAGAAAACTTCTATAGGAGCAAAGCAAGCACAAGTAGTAGAGGTCATGCAAACACCTGCCACACAGAGGCAAACCGATCTTCATAAGCTCATAAACAAAGAGACATTAGCATGGAAGATGTAAAATGGGGCTGCTAATAGAAAGAGAAGTCTCATTTATCAAAATTCCTCTCTGGATTGTTGTAGAGAGCTGTCGTAGGACAGATTTGTAGCAAAAACTGCAGTTAATTATGTGAATGCTGAAGCAACACGTTGAACAGAAATGACTCATCCTGCAGACTGAGGGTGAATGGACATGACACCATAGTAGGGCTGTGCAATATCCCAATATATTTCGCGTGGACAAAATATAATCTCTAGTATTGTTATATTATGCTCTACCGTTTATTTCATGGTGTCAAAATTAATAGCTTTTCTGTATGCCAATTGATTAGTTTCCTCAGGATCTAACCAGCCAAGTCAGAGGTCATGGAGATCTCACTGAATCCAGCATAGGGGCTCTCAACTGGCCGCACATTCTGTCTTTATACTATGCTCTGTGTTTGTCAAAGTCATCTGTGGTCAATGCTCAGGTGCAGGGCTCGAAATTAACCTTTTTGCTTGGCAGCACCAGTGCTCCTAACTTTAAAAATTTAGTCGCACCCACCAATTGTAAGCACCGTTACTACAAGTTTTATACAAACATATTTATTGTATTTGAAATCAACAGTAATCAAACGAACAAGCAAAAAAAGCGAGGAAAGCGTGAGGAAAATATGTCTCAACGAAATCCCGTTATCACAAGAAAATAGACTTTTATAACATAACTGAGTGACCAAAGCATACACGGAGCGCTCACCGGCCCTGCACACACTGCTAGAATGAATCTGTTAACGGTATAACTGTGCTTTTCTCACAGGTGCTGTCTGATATTGCACTGATGCTTTTGACACATACTGTACCTTATTATATGCAAACGTCATGTTAATAGCAATAGCATTTTTTTTTTTAGGAGTAGCGATGTTAGTTTACTCAGCGCAAGCCCGTTTGCGGTGGTGTATGTGGTTTAAATTTGACATATAGCTGCCACTAGCCACAGTGAAGAAAATATAAAACCGTGTATGGAAAGCACCGTCAATACACCGTGATATCGAATTGACCGAATCGATGGCATGATAATCGTAAGCGAACCGAGAGACCAGTGTAGGTTCACAGCTCTAATATGTACATCACTGTAACACGTTTTATTCATAACATTTAAGCTGTTTTTTAGTCCTTATCTCTTTCATTTTCTTTGTATTTAAAATATATTTAACTTGCTTGTTGATTAAATCCCATTTTGTTATTTAACCTATTATTTTTATGCAACAGTTAAGTTGCATATTAACTTGCTATGAAGAAAAGAAAATTATTTATTTTTGGCATGCTGACTTGTGTGAAATCATGAACACAGGTCTATAATCACCTTGCAATTTGGAAATGATAGCTTTTTTGCTTTGAATATAGACTGTTCAGTTCAAAAGAGCAGTTCAATCTTTTATTAAGTTTGCTGTATAAAAATAACATTTTGAAATATTTATAATTATCGACCTATATAAATATATATATATATATCTGCCTTCAATTTTGAAGAGTTATCGGTTACTGATATCGGCCAAAAAAATCCATATCGGTGCATCCCTAATTGTTATCAAAATAAATTTTATTGAGATTCGATATGATAATGTTTATCGGCCCAGCCCTACTTGAGATATATCGCCCAATTCTACACTACAGCACTTTCCCCTCACACAAAGAGCAGCTCATGCAGTGCTCAGTCCAGTGATGGATGTATGGATAGTGTGAGGTCACCTTGTAATTAAATGCGAGTTGCAAAAGCAAGTAATCAGTGGCACTGGAAAGACAGAGTACTACAAGTGGTTTACGGCTCTTAGAACGTACATTAATCACACAAGGAGATCCATCTCTTTCATACAAACACACACATGAGCCGAGCAGCAACACAAAGCTAATACTCCTGCCTTCCTCCATGCAGAGATGAGAGCAGTGTTTGGCTCTCCATCACAGAAAAGCCCCACACTTTAAATCTGTTAGCATGCAGCACCTAATTAAGCTGCTCGAGCCAGAGAGTAACTACAGTAATTACTTGCTGCACAAAGACATTCTCAGCATCTCTGTGCAAAACAACAGAAGTAACTGTGGGGATAGTTTCCTGGACGGATGGACGGTGCAAAGAGAAGCCGTCTTATGATAAATGCACAATGTCAATGTCCAATTAAGCATTAAGTGATAAAAGCAAAGTGTCATTTCAAAAATAAAGCATGCACCGGTTTTGCCAAACACATTTTCCCACTAATTGACATATATGTTGACAAATGATGCAATCACTTGAAATGCGTAGTATAATTAGTTGTTATTTTTACTGTTATTATTTGCAGGCTGGTATTTTTATGCAATAACGGCTTCATTGATCATTTTCATTGCATGCCAAAATCTTAAGTACTAATAAGAATAATCTGAAAAAAAATAAATA